AAGATGACAGTCTGATGGGATTCCATCCTTTGGCTAAAGCAAAGTGTATTCCTTCTACAGAACTCCAGAGCACCAGCACGGGAGACACAAACAAATTGCCAAGCCAGCTTTGCAAAGCCCCAGTTGGCCCAGAGAGTTTGGCTCAGACACCTCACATGAAATCTACATGATCACACTCATGACAAATAGAATCTGATTTGGCCAGCTTTGTCCTAAACCTTAGAATTTAAGGCAAGGACTTGGCTAGTGCTATGAAACACCCAAGAAGAAATATGTGGAAATGGGCAGAGCCACCTCATTCACCCTTCCCAAAGCAACCAGGGCAACAACTACTGAGCCCATCAAGCTATCTCTCAGCTCCAAATTCTCCTTGACTTTAGAAGATATTGTTTTTAACCCCTGTTCGTTCCACTGTGATTAACCAAACAAGGTTCTACTAAATGAATTGAGCTTATATATTTCAACTTAAGAGAAATATTTGGAAATGGTGTCCAACCTTATTTCTAGGACATTAGAAGCCCAGATATAGATGGGGAGGGAGAGAACAATACTTGAAAGAAAATCAAATGCGTGGGAACTGTGAGAACGAAAATAGCACCAGGAAGTAGCCCACGGATCTAACCTGCTGGAAGCCTCACACTCCCCGACCAGAAGTCTTCAGATCAGGAGAGGCAAAGTGGAAAGATCTGAAATCTTGCCTGTGGTGATTTCTTTATAAATAGCATGATATCTCCCAAATGTCAAGCATGAACCAACCTACCACCATCAATTCTTTTAGCTTCTCCATAACCACTTACTAGTTTTCTATAAATCAGTTGTTTGGTTTTGTTTGGGGATTTGGTTTATCCGGTTTTGCTTCATTTTGTTTTATTTTGTTTGTGAGGGGGGTTGCTGTTTGTTTTGTGATGCTGAGGATGGAACCCAGGACCTTCTCTATGCAAGGCAACAACTCCACCACTTTATCCCCAATCCTCGTTTTTGTGAGACAAGAGATCACTGTATAACTCAGGCTGGCCTTGAACTTGCTTACATCAGCCACCCTAGATCAAATTGCAGTCCACCTACTCATGTCCCAGGAGCCCACCCTAAGCCTTCCTACAATATTTCGTCCTTTTCCTCCTCTTCCTCCTTTTCCAACATAAATCTCTGCAACTATCGTATTATCTCTGTGTATCTGACTGGTGTTGAACTTTGGTCTTCCTCAGTCATAAAGTATACTCCTTGAGGACAAGGTCTTCTGATTTATTCATTGATACAGGCCAAGCCACAGTATATGGAGATGCTCAAAAATATTTAATGGGCATTTTTACTTGATAGGCAAAAATGAAAGACAAACACAAAAACAGATAATAACTTCAACTTGAAGACCGTAAGAACTCAGGAAATTGAACTAGGAAGAACTTTCCTTATGTGGTGCAGTATTATTTAAAACAAAAATGACAGGAGTAGAGCGATGGCTCAGTCATTAAGAACAATGGCTGCTCCTGCAGAGGATACAGGGTTCTATTCCCAGCACCCACATGGTGGCTAACTGCCCGTAACTCCAGGAGATCCGACACCCTCTTCTGGCTTCTGTGGGCATTGCACACACAGATGCACTTACATCCATGCAAGGCAAAATATATACACATAAAATAAATAAGTGAAAAAGAAAACTTAAGCAGAAATGATAGACATTTTTTAATTTGAAAATTTGCAGTTTTCAAATGTAAAAGAATAAATTGCATTCCAAAGGAAACAATGATTTAACAGCAGCAGCAGCAACTACTAATGAACAGAAAATAAAAATAAGTTTCTGAAATTAAAATTAGTACATTTGAAATTTTTAAGATGATAAAAAGTAAAAGTTGAGGAAATTCTCCAGAAAGAACAAAAGCCCTACAATGTGGAAACCAGATGGCAAAAGAAAAGAATCAGCTCAAGAGGTGAACAAACAACTAATATATTTTAAGAAAAAATGGAAAAAAAAAAAGAAACAGGAAAAAATATTTTTCAAGTATTCTGAATTGAAGGACTTGAGTTCCTAGACTACAAGAAAGCCACCTCTGGGGTTCAGCATGGCATGATGTAGAAGAACCCTGTGGGGCACACAGCACCCCAGAGTCTCATGGTTTCTTCTGTCTCTACACCACAGAGCATCTCAACAACACCCAGAGACACTAGAACATAAAGGAGCAATTTCTCACATTTCTGAAGATAAAGGATTTTTAACATAGAAGTATATACCTAACCAGGCCATCCACCAATTGTGAGGCAGGATAAGAGTTATATTCAAACAGGGAAAGTCTCAAAATGCTACCAACCATTCACTCTCTATCAGGAAGCTGGAGAGGGTGTCCTACCATGAATCCATAAAGTTCCCTCATGGTCCCATGTGTTACAGAATTGGGGGTATCATCTTTGGGCAGTGGGGCCTAGTAGAAGTCATAGGTCATTGGTGGTATGCCTTGGAAGGGGATATTGGGACTCTGAATTCTTTCTTTCTTGCATCTGCCCATAAGGTGAATAGGGTTTTCTACACCACAGGCTCCCACTGTGATGTATAAACCGCTCAGGCCCAAAGCAATGGAGCCAACAGATCAGGACCTGCAAAACTGTGAGTCAAAAATAAATCTTTCTTTTCTCTAAGCTGATTAACTCAAGTATTGATCGCAGTAACAGAAAACTGACTAATAAATGTGCTCCATCAAAATAGGAAACATAAATAATTGAAAAATATGAGATACAGCTAACAAGCAATCCAGTTCCTGAAAGTATAAGAAAATTCTAGACATGCATCCATACTCCAGAGACATCCTCCACACTGGAACAAAGAGGGAGGACTCGGGCAGAGATGACTCAAAGAGGAAAATGAAGATATCAGCAGATTATCTAATGCATCTGAATGTGTTTAGAGGAGAGATTTAATTCTATAGAAGATTTAGGAATGGAACTAAAGAAAGAAGTCATCATTAACCCTAAGGAAAAAAAAAAAAATACTGTGCAAGAAGGACGTATAATCATAGAATGTGATGTGGTTCCCCTGTGAGCATTGTTTACTTCATCACAGTCATATAAACACTGGCTCTGGGTTTAACATAACAAAGTGATCCAATTACAGGATGAGGAAAGAACAAAACCAATGTAGTCAGTTCCAGGCTCTTGTCCTGCCAAAACAGAATTCAAGATACAATATTTTCATTTATGTATTCTTTCACAATTTCACATACATATTCAAGATGTAATTAAATTTTTTTCTGTGTAGTCCAATAATCACTAAAGAAAGTCTCTGAGAAAATAACTCAAGAGACTGAGGCAGAAGAATTTGTGTAAATTCAAAGCCAACGTAGGCTATATATCAAATATCAGGCCAGCCTGGGCTTTGTAGCAAAATCTTGACTCAAAAACAAAAACAAACAAAGAAACAAATCTGAGAGGCTGGGGAGATGCTCAGTCAGTAAACTGCTTGCCACACAAACATGAGGATCTGAGTTTGAGCCCTCAGAACCAACATAAAAAGTAATCACTGAGTGCAATAGTGTGCACCTGTAATCCCAGAGCCGGGGAAGCAGAGACAAGAAGGTTCGAGGGGTTCACTGGCCAGCCGGCATACCCTAATCAGCAAGCTCTGGTTCAGTAAAAGATCCTATGTCAAAAAATAAGGTGGAGAGAGATAGAAGAAGACAGACACCAGATGGTAATACTTGACCTTCACACGTAAGTATATACATGTGCACATGAACAGGCATATACACATACACACAAAAAATATGAGAGAACAGGATGATTCTCTTGCCTCATTTGAATAATCTTGTTATCAAAATGAGACAGGAACCATACAAGAAAATAAAAGTACAGGTCACCCTCACTCTCAGATATAAAGGAGAAACCCCAAATACTAACAGAACACAACGATGTGTAAATGGCTATACGTGCAATGTTTTTAACGCACTTAGCTTTGGGGATGAAATATAAAGATTACCCTGGCATCTTACAGGCAAGTTCATGTTGTTCATGCTAGAAGGTTCTATGTGGATCTGGAAAAGCAAGGAATACAAGATGTTCCAAACACTGTGAACCCAGGGACCTGGTAAGCTTTCCCAACTTTTTTTAGAAGCTTCTGATATTAGGAAATGATTCATGGAGAAACTGGCAGAAGAAAAGAAATTACAGTGTAGTTAGTTCCCCTTGAGGCTGGTTGTACCCTCATGGGTGTCAATGCAGAAGCATAACTCTCACCTTAAAGGGGATAAGAGATCGTTTATTCTGGAGCCAAGTATGAGTGACCATGGTCTAGGAACACAGATTCAGGTTACCCCAAATTCCATTTTCCAGCATGTTAACAGTTGCCTTACATTTTTACAGTAACAGAACAAAGAAAAGTCATAAATCAAGACACTTTTCAAATACATTGGAGGATACATTCAGGAGGCAGGTCACGGGCAAAGCAAGGGGTTTTTTACTACAGGTCTCAGATGCTATCTGATGATATTCTTAGCCTTTCGATTGTTGAGACCAGGTGATCTGCTAGGATAATACATTCTAAAAGGACATTAGATCAGAAACAGGGGTGGGCAAGGAGTGGCTGTTTGGGAGCTGAAGATGGCCTGCGATAAATGGTAATTAGACTCTGGACTTCCAACATTCCAAACTCTCCACAGTCTCCTGAGTGATAATCAGTTGGTGAGCCTTGCAGGAAGTTCAGTCCGAGGTTCAGGAGTTCTTTTGGGGAACTTCTCTTTCATGTGGGGTTGGAGGCGTCTCTTTGATCAAGTCACCAGGCTTGAGAGACATGGCCATTCTCCCTAAGCCTTGGCCTTTTGGGTAAATAATCCCTACTAAATGCATAATAAAGTTGGGTGGAGATTCATACACTAGACTCTTCAAGCTAGTGGAGGGATCTTGGCATGAAGGGTGGCTTGTGGTGGCTGACAATTGAAAATGAACCTAGGGCCTTTTCCAAAGCTCTTTCTCCTCATCAGAAATTGTGTGTCTGTGGTAGGCCTGTAAACGCTACTTACTGTGCACGAAATATTCTCTCAAACTCCAGTGACCCCGTGACTGCTGGGGCTGCAATTTTGCATTTCAGTCTTGTCTTTCCAACCTGCAAAGCAAAATAGCCTGCAAAGGAAGGGAATATTGTGTTAAAGATACAGCACATCATTGGTCATCAGCGAAATGCAAGTTGAAACCACAACTAAATACTACTGCATACCTACTAGAAAGTGACAAATTGCAAACAGCCCACACCAATTAAAACAGACAGGAAAGGGTATTTGCGCGACTCTCCTATATTGCCGACAGGAATGTAAAATGGTACTACCAATGTGAAAAACATTTGGGAAGAGTGTTTCTAATTAGACATACATCAATCATACAACTCAGTCATTACACTCATAGGTGTTTACCCAAGAGAAATTGCCTTAGTTTTTTTTTCATCACTGTAAAAAACACCTGAGAGACACAATTTTAAAGGAGAAAAGGTTTATTTTAACTCATGGCTCCAAAAGTTACATTGGTCTGGGTCTGAGAAATTGTTCCATTTTTTGTACTAAGACTGAACTTCTCTTCTTAGGAGTTGATTAAACACACTCAGGAATAATCATCTTTGTTTAGCCTATCTTTCTTCTTTCCCAGCTTTCCTGGGGTTGTGGGGGTGGGTGCTTGTATACGGGGGCCAAGGAAAAACAGTATCTCATTCCCACCAGTGAGGGCCACCCAATCACAGCTGGCTCCTTCCCTGGGGAAGTCACTTCTCCATCCAGTAGCTTCTCTTTGCAGGGAAGGAATTTAGGATGGGAACTCACAGTGTTGAGCCTCTATCCTAGGCCAGGCACCATCGGGGAGCTTCCTACCCAGGGTCCTGTTTAGCTTTCTGTGATGGGGAGATGGGGACATGTGTATCCTGACCAGGGACAGTCAGCAGCTGGGAGGCTGGTCAGACAGCTATGGGTTGGTCCGCTTAAAAACCCAAGCTGTTTCTACCATAGCGCAAGGTGTCCCAACTCTGGGAAGACCAGACTTTTGTTAAAGCAGCAAATTCTAGGTTTTAGTGCCAGTTAAGCAGTCTCTCTGTCTCTGTCTCTGTCTCTCTTTGTCTCTCTGTCTCTCTTTGTCTCTCTCTCTCTCTCTCTCTCTCTCTCTCTCTCTCTCTCCCTTCCTCCCTGCCCACTAATTAAACATATTGTCTACCACAGCCATCATTTACCCAATCTCCTCCTGTCCCCTCCCTCCCCTGCCACTGAACCACTGAACTTCTGGTCCCAGTCCACAGTGTCCCTGGCACCAGTCAATACACAAAAGACTCAGAAAAGAGAGTGTCTGTCAGTAGTGGCCATGTATGGTCTCATTCCCACCTTCTCTGCAACTACAGGATCAGGGCACACTGGTTGCTTTAGATTCCAATACTTACTTGGTTTGTAGCAAACACCTGCTCTACTCCACAAAAGCTAGTAAACTAAACTACAAAATGTGTGCCTGGAGTTTTGAGATTTTTCCCTTATCCACAAAGCAGATTGACTAGACAGGCCTGGGCTTTGTTACTAAGTAAAGCACTGTCATGCTTCCTGCTATGTGTGGCCTGCACTGTCTCCAGCTCCGCCCCAGTTCCTGGGTATAAGCATCTTGGGAAGAATAAACAGGCGTTCTTGTTAAAGAGCCCTTCTCGCTGAGCATGTATGTCAGATACCGTGAATTGAGTAAACGTGACTCCTATGGAGAACAGCCTCCATCTGACCAAAGTGTGGAGTAATCCCAGTAGGAAGGTGGTGTAATATTTAGAATGAATACTTAATCTAAATTGTATATTTCTGCAGATCTTTAACTTGATCATCATACCTGCCATCGGCAGTTTATCTAAGAAAACAGGGTAATTGAAAGATTAAGTTTCAAGAAAGCACAACCAGGTTTAGATTCAGAACAGTGTCCTGTGGAACACTCATAATGAACATTTACCCTCCAACCTCCCTGAAGAGCACATTCCTCATGCTCCACCATACTAAGATGTGGTTGTCACCATAACTGATGCAGAGTCACTGGGCTCTGAGGCCCACCACATCCCTGTGAGAGCTAATCTCCCGGCCACACTGATTAGTATGTGCTCTCCTGAGCACCCAGGGAGACATGAATCAGTCTCTCTCTCTCTCTCCCCTCCCTCCCTCCCTCCTTCCCTTCCTCCTTCCTTCCATCCCTCTCCCTCCCCCCACACACACATACACGCACACTTCCCACTCTCTTACTTTGCTGAAAGGCAGAGAGAAGGGAGACAGTGGCCAGCAAGAGTGAATTCCCCGCCATCTTTCACACGCCGATCTTGCTCACTGAACTATCTGTAGGAAGCCAGCTGAAGAGCAGAGGCGCTTTAGGACCATGCAAGGCTGATCTTCCTTCCTTATAAAGTCTACAGAGTTGGGAATGAAAAAAAAACAGGCAGATTCAAGGCTGAGTAACCTTTGTACTAGAAGAGAAACCAGGAAGGAGGCAGGGCTGGGCTGGGCTGCTGGCACAGATCCATATATGGTGTTTTCTGAACTTTTCCCAGATCTCTCTCTCTCTCTCTCTCTCTCTCTCTCTCTCTCTCTCTCTCTCTCCTTATCCTGCAGGGTTAGCCTTCCAGGCCTGCAGCCTCAGCTACAGGATCTTTTCTGCCTCTTCTCCTTTGGTCCTTTTATTAACACCCCCCACCCCCCCTTTTCTCACCTCTTGTATTAAAATGTGAAGGAAGCCTTCCTTAATCACATCAAGATTTTTCTATGGTTATTTAACCATGGTCTGACTTCATTGACCTAGTAAATTGAAGATCCAGATTCAAACCTCAGCTACCAGATTCTAACTGCTCCTTATCCTTTGCAGCCTGTAATCTTCCTCTGTCACTTCAACTTTCCCCTGATATTGTGACCACACTTTTGGGGGGGGGTGTTAATAAAAGGACCAAAGGAGAAGAGGCAGAAGGTCTTTCATGTTCCAGACTGGCCTTAACTCCCTATGCAGCCAAGGATGACCTTGAACTTCTGACCCTTCTGCCTCCTCTTGCCTCCACCTCCTGGGTGCTGCAATTCCAGGCATTTACCACCACTCTTGGTTCATGCAGTGCTGGGACTCGAACCCAAGACTTTGTGCAAGCTAGGCAGGCATTCTACCAACTACATTACACCCCCAGCCCTGACCACACATTTTTTTAAAAAATTAAGATACTGGTTTTGTGGAAGAAAATGGCCCTCATGGGAAGAAGTGGATCAATGTTTTAAGTAAGACTTCTGGTAGGAAACCCAGCACATGTAGCCACCACAAAGGGCCAGACCTCACTACTGTCCGAACATACCACACACACCACTGGTGGGGCACAGTCCTCCTCAACTGAGCACTGCTTCTGTAGAATCTACTTATCACAGTTCTCTCCCTAATACAATTGTTTTGCACTGTTAAAAAATATTATTTTCATTTTCATTTTTATGTTTATGACTGTATTGCCTGGATGGATGTAAGTGCACCCACGTTGTGCAATGCCTACTGAGGTCAAAAGAGGGAGTTGAGGATGGAATTGGAATTAGGGATGGGTGCTGGGAACCGAACCCAGGTCCTCTGCAAGGGCAGCCAATGCTCTTAACCACTGAGATATCTGCCCAGCCCCTGTTTTGCTCTTTTAAGATGAAGCTTCCTAGGCTGGGGAGATGCTCAGTGGTGAAGTGCTTGTCATGCAAGCATGAGGACCATAGTTTGGATCCCCAGAACCCAAATAAATTCCCTTAGAAGGCAAAGACAAAGCTAGCTAGCCAGAAACATTAACCATATCAACAAGCTCTGGGTCTGATTGAGACATCATGTCTCAATGAATAAGATGGAAGAATGGTCAAGGATGATTTTCAACAATCTTGGGCCTCCACAAGCACATGCACCCATATGCATGTGCATGGCACACACATGCATACATATACAAACCAGATAGGTAGATAGATGATAGCTAGATTGATCGATCCATAGATGATAGATAGATAGGTGGATAGATGATAGACAGATGATAGATAGATGATGATGATAGATAGATAGATAGATAGATAGATAGATAGATAGTAGCTAGATCGATCGATCCATAGATGAAAGATAGGTGGATAGATGATAGATAGATGATAGATGATGATGACAGATAGATAGATGATAGATGATTGATGATAGATATAGATAGATAGATAGATAGATAGATATGATAGATAGATGATAGATAGATAATAGATAGATAGATAATAGATAGATAGATAGATGATGATAGATAGATAGATTTTTACTAATAATGTACATAAATAGACAGATGACAGATAGATAGATGATAGATAGATAGATAGATAGATAGATAGATAGATAGATAATAGCTAGATCGATCGATCCATAGATGAAAGATAGGTGGA